ACACTCTCAATGTGCCGACACAGTGACGCGTGTGCGCGCTTCCAGCTACACATAGTCGCGCTGTTACTTTTATTTGCCGCGCTCCGCCGCTTCGGCACACAGCTTTGCGAGGCGCGGAGAGGTGTTCCCGGGCCGCGGCCGCCGCGGGTGGGGAGGGAGGGGGAAGGAAGGGGAGTGAGAGCACGGCGGGCCCGGTGCAAACAGGGAAATGCAGCCACACCACGTGTTGCTGTAGCGGCGGCGGCAGGGGAGGAGGACGACGACGACGAGGACGACGACGACGAGGACGACGACGACGAGGACGACGACGACGAGGACGACGACGACGAGGACGACGACGACGAGGACGACGACGACGAGGACGACGACGACGAGGACGACGACGACGAGGACGACGACGACGAGGACGACGACGAGGACGACGACGAGGAGGAGGAGAGCGGTCGTGTCGGCAGGCACGATGAATAGATCGCCGTTCGGGACGCCTCGGCGCGCCAAGTGCACCCCGCAGACTGGTTCCGAGAGTCGTTTCCGTCGCTCTGTCTCTCTCACCCTCACGGGGCGCCGCATGCAGGTGTGAGAGACACAGACGGTTCTCGGAATCAGTCTGCAGTGGAAACGGAGCCGCCAGGCGATGGCTTCGGAATCAAGCCGCCGTGGGACCCGGCGGGGGGAGGGGGGAGGGGGATGCTGCATAGAAACGCGTGGCGCTGCGCCGCCACTCTGATAAAAGAGTTTGCCGCAAACATCAGCAACACTTTGTTGCCATGAGGCTGCACTGCACGAGGCTGCACCGCGCAGCACCGCACGGCCGCGACGAGGACCGCGACGTCTGTTTGCAGGGCCAGGCGCTGCCAGGCGCGGCCAGGCGGCGCACCTGCGGCGGTTCGGCGGTTCTCTTCGGCCGCAGACGCCCGCAGACGATAGACGAGACGGCGGGGCGGCGGGGCACCCTATCTGCTTTACGGCTGCCAGCGCTCCCTATGCACCACACGCCGCGACCGGGCAGCACACTGAGAGTCGTTTTCGTCGCCCTGTCTCTCTCGCACCTGCACGGGGCGCCCCATGAGTGCGAGAGAGACAGAGCGACGACTCTCGGAATCAGTCCGCACCGCTATTGATAGGCGGTGTTCGATCCGCCGCGCTAAATTTACAGCCCCAGGGAAACCGCACGGCGGTGCGGCGGCCGCGAGGTGCGAGGCGACCAGCGGCAGGCCAGCGATGCAGATGAGTGGTTTAGTGTCACTCCGTCTCTCTCTCTCTCCCACTGTTACGGACGGAGGAGCCTAATGAGTGCGACAGAGACAGAGCGACCAAACGACTCTTCCGTCTGAATCGCTCGGCGGGCGGCAGCGCGGCAGCAGGACGCGATAACCGTGGCGGAGGAGGAGGCCGGAGAAATTTCCCTCGAGCGTGGCGGACTTTGACGGAACGCCGAGAACGAGGCTTATCAGGACGGGGGCTTCCAGGGGCTCGGCTGGGCCGAGGGCTGGGCCGAGGGCTGGGCCCGAGTCGCTACAACAGGTCCTCTCTGATGGGGTGATTGTGGGGGCAGGCCACTCCGTTTCAATCCCCGCGCACTTCTCGCTTCGAAAAACAACCCAGAGAAAGGCAGGAAAAGGGAATTAAACTGGAATCCGGGGCGGCAGTGGGTGTGGGTGCCACACTGTGGGTGCCACACTGTGGGTGCCGCCAGAGACCGCGCCGCGCTTTATGAAGCATTGCTGCGCGTTCTCGCTGTCGTGTCTGTCGTCTGCTGTGCTGCGTGAGGCCTGTACACTGATTCCGAAAGTCGTTTTCGTCGCTGTCTCTCTCGCACCCAAACGTGCAAGATGGACAGAGCAGACTGATTCCGAGAGTCGTCTTCGTCGCTCTGTCTCTCTCGCACTCATGGGGCGTCCCGTACAGGTGCGATAGAGACGGGGCGACGAAAACGACTCTCGGCATCAGTCTGGTGTGGCCGCTGGCGCGCTCTGGCGGCGACAGCCCGTTCATTCTGGCCGTTTTCGCCCTGGCGGCGCCTGGCGGCCGCATGCCGGGTCGGGGCGCAGCAAGGGGCGCAGGCAGCAAGGACTCGAGGATCCGCGAGAACCCCCGCGAGCGGGGCAAGGCGCGCACGGCGGGCACGGCGGGGTAGTACTCCTTCCAGTATAATTGGCTTTTAACTGCTCTGATAGCTTTAGCGGCTGCGCTTAATGTCGCGGCCGCCCTCGCCGAGGCCCTCGCTGGGGTCGCGTCGTCTGTACACCGATTCCGAGAGTCCTTTTCGTCGCTCTGTCTCTCTCGCACCTACACGGGACGCCCCACGAGTGCGCGAGAGACAGAGCGACGAAAACGACTCTCCGGGCCCGGGCTGGCGTGGCCTGGCAGCGCGACCCCTGGCGCCATCTAGCGGGGGGACGCGGCACCTCCTCGCCGCTGCGCCACCCCGTCCCCGTCGGTGGAAGTACCAGCAGACTACACGGACTGCGGAGCCTCCTTGTCGCTGTCTCTGTTGCACTCATGGGGCGTCCCGCCTCGGCCGACGGCCAGACTTCAGTCCTGAGACAGCGACGCGAGGAATGATTGCTTTGATGTGATTGGCGATGGGTCTGAAGCGTACTGCTCAAGAATGAATGCGGTAGAAATTTGGAGACTGGAACGCCAGTGGATTGTGCGACGTCGTCGTCCTTGGCGCCTCTCCCGTCTCATTCCGAAAGGACCGTTCGCTGTGTCTCTCTCGCACTGACGGGGCGTCCCCACGAGTGCGAGAGAGACAGAGCGACGGAGCGATCCTTGGGTGTCGGACGGCTGGACTGGATGTGACAACGACGGTCTGCAGCCAAACGGCTCGGACGATTGGCGCCTTTTCGTCGATCGATACGAGACCCCCCCCCCCTTGATAAGGCGCAGCCTGGGCGCAGCGCGACATGCAACTTCACTCTCCTCCAGGGTGTTAACGTATCTCGATTAACGCCGTCGTAACTGCTTACTAGTCACGGCGTTCTGTTAAAAGATGTCCACGGCCATTACGCCAACGCGCCAACCTACGGACACTTAACCAACGCCCTAACGAACGTAGGGATAATGCACGATCGGCCGGTAACTGAAAAAATTTATGTCTAGAGACAGCAAAGCGTTTTACCTAGTTATGGTATGGTTTCTTTAATTCTTTTATGGGTGATGAACGTTGTTTCAACGTTTGGTGGCGTTACTCACCCCTCTGGTGGGTTTTAAAGTTTTTTTTAAAGATAACGGCGTTACTTGCGTTAATTTAACGTTAACGCGTTAAATTCTCAAATTCGAGTTAACGTTAACGCGTTAAGTTAATGCACCGCTAACGCATTAACGTTAACGCGTTAAATCTGAAATTAACGTTAACAACCCTGCTCTCCTCCGTCGTCCCCCGGGTCCTGTTCTGTCCTGCCGGGTTCTGCCGCCGCTCGTCCGCTCTCGTCACGGCGTTCTGGTCGAAGCGACGAGCCACCGCGGTTGCGCCACCTCGCCCAACCTCCGCCACACTGTCCACACGCGGCAGCGAGACGCGGTAGGAGAGGCGCCGCGTGCCGCGTCACTGAGGATTTCATTCATCTTGCCGTCACCGCCGCGTAGTGATCGAGATTGGGCGGGCGGTCACCGCCCGACGGAAAGCAGACTGCAGCGCCGCACCACCGGCGAGCTTCGGACACTCTAAAACACGAAGCACCTGGGTGTCTGCGGCGGATGATGACTCCGTTCGCGCCAAACGGCCGAGTCCTCCACCTACGCACCTCACCCCTCACCTTGATGCCGCCCGAAGGGCAGCGCGATCAGGTGGCTAAACGCACGGTCGGGCGGGGGTAACCGTGTCCCCCGGTCTGAAATCTCGGCCGGGCTGCGCCGCTCTCCGCCCGACGAGCGTTTGGGCGAGGCTGGCACGCGGCGCCCGTGCCGCAAATCGCACAGTCGTGGCAGCGGCCAGTAGGGTGCGCCGCGTGCCGCATCACGAGATCTTACTGCGTACCGCCGCGTCCGTGCCCGCCGCGTGTCGCGACGGCCCACGATAGCAGTGGACTGATTCCGAGAGTCGCTCTCGTCGTCCAGTCCCTCTCGCCCCCGTACTGGACGCCCCATGAGTGCGAGAGAGACAGAGCGACGAAAGCGACTCTCGGAATCAGTCTGCTGCGCCGGCGTCGCGCCGCGATCAAGTGCAACGTCTCGCTGCTTGATTGAGCGCCGCGCGGTGATGCGGCGAGATCGCCGTGCTTAAGCCCCCCCCCCCTCCCCGATGGCGTTCGGTTCCGCCTGGTGGCCGCGTTATGATTCGGCCGGTCCGAGCTGCAGGCGTGGGGCAGTGGCGGCGTGGTGGCGCGGCGGCCGGCGGTGGCCTTGCGAACCTTGACCGACAATCGCTACTGGCGCCGCCCCCTCCACGGCGCGGTGCGCGAGGTGCGCGAGGTGCGCGGTGCGCTAGGCAGGTTGCGCCGGCCGAACGGAACCGTGACGCCGAGGGCCGAGGCTGCGGTTTGGTTTCCAATTTGGAGGCAAGCGGTGGGGCGGGCGCTACGATTCGAATGCGCGCGTCAGGGCCGGGCCGTCGGGCCGTCGTCGTGCGTGTGGTCGGCGGTCGGGAGGGGCGTCGGCCCGGTCGGGCCCACATCCGGTGGGGAGCCACGGCCCCCTCGACGCCTCTATCGGCGCGGCCGGGGCTCGGCGGCCACGGCCTCCTCTATCGCCCGAATGACGTAAACGCGCCATCCAGAAGGCCATGGATGAGCCGGCGGCGGCACGGCGGCGTGGCGCGACGCGGCGGCCGAAGCGACCCGGGCTGCGGCGTCGGCGGCGGGTCGGCGGCCAGCCGGCGGGCCCCTTCGAGCTGGGCCCGGCCGGATCGGGGGGCTGCGGGGGCACGCCGGGGGCCACTGGCGGCGCGCCCCGCCCCACCGCGCCCGCAGCCCGCACCGCACAGCTGTTCACACACGTGGTCGGGTCGGCGCCGAGGAGTTGGGTTGGGACGACGCGCAACGCGCAGTGTGGGTTCGCCTGGTATCGCCGGGACCGCGCCAGCCACGCCAGCCACGCCAGCCACGCGCCAGGACCAAGAGCAAGCCGAGTGGAGCCGCCTCGCCGCTTCGGCTTTCGGTCGACAGAGTCGACAGTCGAGGCCCCGCCGCAGGCCAAGCCGAAGCCAAGCGAAGCGCCAACGCGAGCCGCAGTGCCCCCGACGCCGACCGCGACGCGTGCCAAGCTAGCCTTCCTCAAGACGCCGCCGTCGTCGCCGTGCTCGCCGTCGCCCGCCGCTGGAAGTGCTCGCCGTCTCGCCGTCGCGTCGCGCTGCACCACTTCACCGCGTTCCAGACGTCCGCGACGCCCGGCGTCCGAGTCCACATTGCCTTGCTGTGGTGTCGGGGTGGCTGGTAGGCCCACAGACATGGCGGCAGCGTACGTCGTGGTGGCGGTGGCGGTGCTCGGCGGGGGCTAAGCCTCGGGCTGAGCAGCAGCCGCAGCAGCGCCGGCAGCAACAAGGCCCTGCCCTTCCACGACGAGTCCACCGAGCCCCACCGAGCCCCACTCCGCCGCCTCGGCGTCCGAGGCGCAAAAGTCAACACGAACCAAGCGGGCCGAAGAAGGAGGCGTTCGGAGCGAGCGAGAGGCAAGAGGCAAGGAGAGATAAGGGTGTTGCGCCTCCCTCCCTCCCCCGCCGCGCCCCGCCCCGCCCCGCGCACCAAGCCCCGGCACCGAGCAGGCGTGAGTCGAGCGTGATGCCGGCAATGACTCGGAAGAGGACGACAGTGCAGCGGCAGCAGCGCTAGTGGGGCTCACCGACGTCACCGCCAGCGACACCCTCCGTCACCATGGGAACGGCGACGACGCCGCGCGAGCTCAACGGGGCAACCACCCACGTCGCCATGAACACGGACATCGACGTGGACAGCGTCGCGACGCCCTTGACCAGGTTGGCGAACGGCAACGGCAACGGCGTCAACGGCGTCCACGAGGATCACGAGGCCCGCACCCCCGCCGGCGTTCAGCGTAAGTCCATGGTTCACCTGTTGCGCGCGTCCCGTCGCGTCCGGCCCCCGCGCCCGGCTCGTGTGTGGCTCGGCTCGGCCGGCCGGCCCCGGCCCGGCTCTGGCATTCTTTATTCACGGTGACTCCTCTCTCGCCTCAGGACTCCGGACGTGCTGTGGGACTGGTCGCGACGAGCCGAGCCAAGTCCTGCGGCCGAGCCGGGCCGGGCCTCGTCCGAGTGTGCGCGTGTGTCGTTGACTCGGAGCCGAGCCGGCTCGAATGAGGCAAGAAAGAGTCGGGAGGGCTTGAGGGCGAATAGCATTAAGGGACTTGAGGGCCCCACCCGCCCGGTCCGGCTTAGTCCGGCTGGGGCCCTGCCGGGGGCAGAGCGGAGCGAGCTCCCGCTGCCGCAGAAAGTGTCCGAAACGCAGGATGAGCTGCTAGCGAGTGACGAGCGAACCGGCGAGGCTGTCGCCGCCGTCCTGGCCTGGCTTAATTCCCTCATTAAATCATTGCCGCCAGGACGGACCCCCATTGAGCCTCACGCCTCGCGTGGCATTCCGGCAACACGGACGACGGCGGACCGCAGACACGTGGGCGACGAGGAGTAAACCCGCCGCCCCGCGCCCACCCGTCACACCGGCCGGGCCATCCCGCCGTTTCGCTTATCGTGTCGCGAATCAAGGCCGCGTGGTGTCCGGCACCCAGCCTAGCCGTCACGGCGGCACGGCACGGCGGCACGCTGCTGGTGGCGGTGGACGCCATGTGCATCGCCGTGCTCGCCGTGCCGTTCGCCCTGACTTGACCGCCTCACTATTTTCCGCGATGGACGCGATGAGATAAGACAAGGACGGCGGCCAAAGGTCGCACCATCTCCCTCCCTCCGGCCGGGCGACGCGACGCGACAAGCGGCTATCGCTGGAGCAGCTGGAGCAGCTCCAGAAGCCGGCCGGCGGGCCGCGACAGGTTCAATCCGAACAGGTTTCTCGTCGCTCTGTCTCTCTCGAACCCCTGCGGGACGTCCCATGCGCGCGCGCGAGAGAGAGAGAGACAGCAGCGAAAGCCCTGCTCGGAATCGGCCTGGTGTTTGTCACCGCGTCCGCGGCGTTCGCCCGGCTGGACGGGGCGACGGCTCCACAGCGGCGTCAAAGTTTGACAACAGAAAGTGGTCTTGGGCAAGCAGCGATTACTACGGCCGATAACGTGCTGGTGATTGCGGGGAACTTTAAGTCGCGCCGGCGGCAGCCTCTGCTGAGAGTTGAACCCGAACCGAAGACGAAGTCGGGGTTACCTTCGCCGGGACGACGGGACCCAAGTTAGTTATTTTTGGCCTCGCCTGCCGTGCAGGTTCCGATCCCTTTTTCTCGGCCTTCCGGGTCTGTGTGGGGCTCAGCGGGGGAGGGGGAAGGGGAGGGGGGAGTCGGTGTGGAAAAGGGCGTGGGAGGTGGGTGGCGATAAGCGATGAGTTGAGCCAGGACGCCACGTCTATCGGCCAGCACGGCCAGCAGCACCGAGCGGCCAGCGCCTCGGCCAAGGTTGCGGTCTTCTCCTCCTTCTTCTTGTTCCCCTCCGTTTGCCCCCAAGCAACCAACCTATCGCGTAGAGGCCCTCCATTCACGGCCCCGTCGCCCCGTCCATTCATCGCGCTTATTGGTCCCTATTGGTCCGCGTGTCGCCGCGTGTGGCCGCGTGTCACAGCCGCCCTGCCGCGCCCTGCCGAGCGATCCCTGTCTCTCTCGCACCCCCGCGGGACGCGCGACGCGGCGCGACGCCAATGAGTGCGACAAAGCGACTCTTCGCCGATAGTTTGGTTCCTTCCGGCCCGGCGGATGGCGCGGCGCGGGCCGCGACTACTCTGGCGGTGCGCGGCCGAGCGGCCGAACTGCACGCTGCATCATCGGCGCGCATCGCCATGCAGAGCCATCAGCCTCGTAGCCAGCGGCCCGTGCCGGCTCGGCTCGGCGCTCCGCTCGTGGGGGGAGGAGGGGAGGGTCCTTGTTGATGCCGTCGTTGTTGGCGGCGGGGGTGGCGCGGGGTGGCGCCCAGGGCGGCGGCGCTGCGTGGCGGATCAACAGGTCCGCGTTGGCGGCCCCGTCACCCACTCTTCGCGGTGTCTCGAAAGGCGGGGGAGGGGGCGTCGTGCATGTAGGTGCTCGGGGACGTCACCGCCATGCCCATGGCCATGCCTTCGTCGTGCGTCTGAACACGACGCCGCCGCCACGCCCGGCCACGGCCGCGGACGCGTGATATCGGCGACGGCCACGCGGTCCGCGGCACGTACAGTCACAGCGTGGACGTCGCGTCCACCGCCTGTCGCCTGTCGGTCCCATCCAACCAGTCTGACCCCAGCCCAGGGCCCGCGCCGCGACGCGCCGGGCCAAGCCTCAATCTTGCATTTCAGACGCCCCTCCCCCTCCCCCTCCCCAGAGAGGCGCGACGCCCAAAGCTGGATGTCCGGCGTGCATGCCACGGCACCAGCAGGCGCGTCGCGCGTCGCGCATCGCATCGCGCATTACATAAATTCAATACTACGTCCACCGACTGACGCGCTGCCCCCTCTCCTTCGCCTGACGCGTTATCGAGTCGCGTCCGCGCGGCCGGCCGTGGCGGCGAGGCGAGCCCTCCCCGCGCTCCCACGCCCTGGCCGCCCTGGCCGCCCAGGGGCGATGCCGGTACCTGCGCCCGGCCCTGCGCCCTGCGACGTGCGACGCGACAGGCCGGTGCGCCTACACTAGCGCCGCGCCGCGCCCCCGTTATCGACCGGAAAGACAACAAAAGGCAAAACGGCCACGCCCGCCGCCCGAACGCCGTGCCACCCTCAAGGAGTGGCCGGTCTCGTCCGCCGCCACCATCACCGTTGTCATCATCCTCGTCGCCGTCCTCGCGTCCTTGCTGCCCTCGTCCTCCTCGTCCTGGCCGTCGCCGTCCTCGTCCCGGTCCTCGTCCTCCCCGTCTTCGCCCTCGTCCTTGTCCTCGTCGTCGCCGACCTCGTCCTTGTCCTCATCCTCGTTGTCCTCGTCACCCTCGTCGTCTCGGACGCGGTCATCGGCGACCTCCGAGTACCGCGTTGCCCGCCACGACGCGCACGTGCTGCTCGGCCGTGCTTCGCGTGCTCCTAATTCGCCCGGCGCGTGATGCGTGCTCTCGGCGTCCTCTCGGCGCGCTGCTGCCCCGGTCGTCACGAGGCGGGATGGCGGCAGGATGCTGGAGCAGTACACTCCGTGCCGAAAGTGGCTTTTCACGTTTGCCCCTCCCGAAACGAAGCGAAACGAAACGAGACAAGCGACTATCGTGTCACAAAGTAATTGCCGCCCGATTGGTTCTGGCGCTTCGAGGGGCGTCGCGTCCCTCGCGTCGTCGCCGCGCGAGAGAGATAGCGAGATAACAACACACGGCGTGACGCAACCGCGTGTTTCCGCCTCGTCTCGTGAATGACCTGCCGGCGACGCCGAAAAGCCGTTTCGTCGCCCTGTCTTTGAGTACAGCGGCCCCTGAGTGCGAGAGAGACAGAGCGACGAGAGGACTCTCCGGAATATGTCTGGTTGGAAAAACGCTTTGGGAGTCGAGGTGACAACGCGACAATTTGGAAACAAAACCAAAACTCCCTCATCTTGGGTGACGGAAATTTGAAATTTTGTGGCCAGCTGCCGTTTCGCCATCGCCTTGACCTTCGGGCACCGGGCGCAGAGGGTGTTCACCTGCCGCCCTGCGGCCGGGCCCGGGCCGAGGCCGAGCCCAACCTGACCCAACAGCGGGGGAGGCTCATGCAAGTGTCTGCTTCATTCAGTTGAAGCCGCCGGCGCGCCAAAAGTGCGTTTCGTCAGCCCGCTCGCTTTTACCTCGGCCCCGACGGCGAGGAGAGACAGGCGACGGAGGCGCAGGCAACAGCGGTGGAAACAGCTTGGGAGTCGAGGGCAACGGCAGGAAAAACGCAAACCGGCACATCAGGCGGACAGGAATGGGAAGGGCAGGCAGGCGGTCGCCCAGCCTGGCGGGCAGCGGGCGGCAGAGGGCGTCAGGCGGCAGGGCCGGCGGCCGGGCAGCAGGGCGGGCACGGAGCCAGGCCAGGGCAAGGCAGGGCAGGCCAGGCAAGGCGCTGGCAGGCAGTAGGCAGGCGGCGGGCAGGGCCGGGCCAGCGCCAGGCAGGGTTACGCAGGCAGGGCATGCCAGGTTCCACGCCAGCGGCAGCGTTAGGGCTCGGGACGGGGCAGGGCAGGGCAGGGCAGGGCAGGCAGGCAGGCAGGGCAGGGCAGGGCAGGGCAGGGCAGGGCACCGCGTCGCTGACTCAGCGAAACGGCCCGCCACGCCACGCCACGCCACGCCGCGCTCGACCCGCCGCGAACCAGACGCCGTCTCCAGCAGGCTGCTTCCGAGTGTCACGCCCTCTGTCTCGCTCGCACTGGCGGCGCGTCCTGCGGGAGTGCGAGCGAGACAGAGCGACGCGCTTCGGCGTCAGCCTCGAGCCTCTCCACGTAATGAACGGAACGGGTCGCGGCTCGCGGCAGTCAGTCCAGGCCGCCTCTGCCGCCCGGGTCGCGTCGAGTCCGGAGCACGCATTACATCAGGCGGCCTCTGCGACCCGCTCAGTCTCTGTCTCAGCGCGTCGCCCCGTGCCACAGTGGGCCAGAAGACCGGTGCAGGCGGTCAAAATTCCGGACGCGTTTTGAGCTCCAGAGTCGCTAAACATGGGACTCGAACCGAACGTGTGACCTCACCAATGAATTGCTCTCTGAACGAGGAATCCATTGGTGGGATCACACGCTCGGCTCGAGTCCTGTTTAGCGACTCTGGAGCTCAAAACGCGTGTAGGGTTTTGGCCGCCGCCGCCGATCTTCTGGCCCACCGTGCGCGCGAGAGAGACACTGCTGCTGCAGGTCGGCGACTCTAGATTTGCGCGGCGCGGTTCCAGGTCGCGGATTAGGCGAAGGCGTCGCGCGGATGATGCCGCACTGTAAAGCCCGGCTAAAGGACGCCGACGACGCCTCTTCTCGGAACCAAGGCGCGCCAAGGCCGAAACTAAG